AGAGGCATGTTTATTTATTTATTTATTTGTTTGTTTGTTTGTTTTGTTTATACATGCACTGGGTACAGTCAGAAGCGCGGGAGGGCGAGAGAATTCACCAGAGCCAGAGCGGGGAGCAGAGCAGGCAGAAGGAGCGAAGTACACTGCTGAGGGGAGCAGCGGGCGGCAGGAGAGGTCTGCGCGCCATGTGGGACCCTCCTCTGGTGGCCGGGGAGCAGCTGGGGATCGAACCGCTGCGCCGCAGAGGTCGCCGGCAGCTTCGCAACCCAGCGCTCAACCGCTGCGCCACCGGGGAGGCCCCATGGTAGCTGATACTTTGATAGATTGTCTCTTTGAATTTCTCTAAATCTCATAATCCCCATTCCTGTGGAGTTTATAGTATATAACCTTGTTTTACATATGAAGAAACCAAGGCTCAGAAAGGAAGAATAAGAACTAAAATTGTTGAGTACCTAGATCATATCAGACATGGCACTTATTTTTTATCTCATTTAGACTTAATAATAACCAGTCATTCAAAGAGGGTAGGTGATTTGCAAGGACTTTAGTCTAAATTCCATGGATTTCTGACTTCAAAATGTTCTTTCTACTATACCACACTCTACTCTCTATGCCTCAAAGGAGATTTGGCTATCACTATTAGGTATGTAAGTCTGAGGTAATTATGTATATCAAGTAAGTTAATGAATGTTAAAGTACTTTGAGAATTGTAAAGTGTGATTCTCATGTCAGGGGTTTCTATCAGTGATTTTGGAAAATAAGAAGGATAAAAAGTGTGAGATACATCCTTCAAAGCACTAATAACTACTTAAGTGTATATCTGGAGTATATTTGGTCTTCTTAAAGTCACTTTTTCTTAAATAAAAGTCATTCTATGTCCTTTACACCAGCTAGCACCTCTTTCTGGGATGCTCTGCCCTAGATCTACACATGCCTGATTCCTTTTTGCCATGCCTGTCTCAGCTCAAATGTCATTTCTTAAAGAGCCTTTATTGAGTACCCCTCAAATATTCTCTAACACAGTGTTCTCTTTTATTGTCTTCAAAGCACTTATCACTCTCTGAGATTACTCTTTATTCACTCCTTTATTTATATACCTGGTTCATACTGTAAAACCTACTATCTATCAGTAGTATATTTTCAATATAGAATATGTGTTGGATGAATGAATAAATGAGTAGATCTTGAGTTAGTAAGAGAAAAACTATATGATATGATGGAAAGAGGAAGGACTTTGGAATTAGACATCCTGAATTTAAATTCCAGTCCTGCCTCATTACTTACATGTCCTTAGCCAAATTGGTCAAGTTTCATTGGCCTTATTTGTTAGAGATCATAAAACATGCTTCATAGTCAAGACTTTAAAATCATTGTTTTAACTGCCTCTATTTACTGCTGCTTACATACCCTAGAATATTTTATTGGCACTGATGGCTGTCCATAATGCCATTGCAAATACTGTGCCAACTCTTTCAAAAGAGGTGTTCAATAAATGTCAGTTCCTTTTAAGAAAAATTAACACCATCACTAGGGGGCACCCATGTATAAAGTAATTTGTTTCTCCATTCTTAGTCTTAACAGTTTCATAACAGTAACATTATTAGTCATTATTACGACCAAGGGAATCCGGATTAGCCACAAGCCTGCATGCACAGATCAGAAGTTTTTCAAGGAGGGGAAACCAGTTTACATCTTTATGAGCTACTACACTGCCTTAGGTGTGTTTCTACCTGTACAATGAGCCTCACCATTGCCATTAGGGTGGGTCAAGGGGCCATGTACCCTCTCGATGTCTTTTGGCAGATTAGATCTGGAAGGTTACTTAAATGTCATATGGCCAGAGATGCATCTCTCTCTAACCTTAACTGTTTCTCTTTATGGTCTTGAGTCACACAGAACTACTTATAGTCTCATATAACCCTGCTTTATTACAGCTTTAAGTCTATCTACATACTGAAGTACTCTTACCCTCTACCCTAGCTCTTTTCCTAATTCAAGATCCACACATTCTTCAAAGATTATTCCAAATGTCACTTATTTTGAAAACTTGCCTGACTAGTCTCATTTGACTATCTCTTTTGCCTTCTCCCCTTCCCTTGCACAGCTTGTCACTCCTTCCTCCAGGTTCTCATAATTCTGTGTATGTATACATTTTTATTTTACACTCATGGAATCTTTTTTGAAACTTTTTACTTTGAATGATAATTTCAGCTTCACAGAAAAATTATTATAGTCCTATAAAGAATTTCCCTATACGCTTCACCAAGATTTTCCAAGCGACATTTTATCGCATTTGTTTTTATTACTCTCTACATTTTTTTCCTCAGCCATTTGACAATGACTTGCATACCTAACATCCTTTTACTATTAAAAACTTTAGCATATGCTTTCTAAAAACAAGGGCATACTCATCTATAGGCATAGTGCTGTTACTAAAATCAGAAAATTAATGTTAATATAGTACTGGCAGCAAATCTACAAACATCCGTATTTTCCCATTGCTCCAATAATGTCCTTTTAGGGAAAGAAAATTCTAGATCATGAGATAAACTTGTATCTTCTCTACCCAAGTCCTTACCCACTGAATTGTGATTGATCTTATAAAGATCTAATCTTCTCAAGATTGTGCTTCTCCAGGTAAAGAATCATATCACATTGGATTTTTTTAACCTTAGGTAATTGACAAGATTTCGTACTTATTTATTTACTGAATTTGTAACTGATTTACTAATTACTATGAACTGTAACTTCCTGGGCTCTCCTGAAAGAGAGAGAGCTCGTCCTTCTCTCAGGCCATATGGCAGAATGTGTGCAGTGAAGATTCCTAAGGCTAGAATCATAACAGGTTTTGCCACTTTCACTTCTCTGAGGCTTGTTTTCCTCACTTGTTAAATATGATGATAATGTTAGCCTTCACAATATTGTTATGAAGGTCACATGAAACTACAGATATATAAAAAAATTTTTTTTGAGATTTTTAAAAACTAAGCATTTGTTGCATTTTTTTTATTTCATACATTTTTTTACATCATTTTTCATTTTTGCACAATGTATGTAAGGGACCAGGAAAAAGCCTAATAAAGTAAAAAGCAAAATCAACAAGCAACTATGGGGGGGAGCGGAGGGGAGGAGAGAGTAGGATCAAAACAAGAGGGGTGGAAATTGTATGAGCACTATAACCAAGATGAAAATGCAGATGTACAAAAATTTTGTCAAGGTATTATTCATTAAGGTCTAATTCTGTTAATTAGTATTAGCATCAAAACGTGTTGGCAAATATTCCTATCTTTTCTCTTTCTCTGAAGTAGGACAGTCATTAAATTATTCAATTATTTGCATTTGAGAAAATGAGAAGATTGTGTTTAAATGACAAAATCAAGGTTACACTATAAAGTACAGAACTAGAATTAGATCCATGGTCCCTTGACATTGTCCCGTTTTTTTTTTTCCCAACTAGGATAATTAAGTTAGAATGTGACAAGACAGGACTTCCTGATGGGAAAAAGTTCCAAATCCTGGAATCCCTCAGGATGGCTCAAATTCATTATTAAGAAGCTTTTAAATTAGTATGAAACCTAATCTCACTACTAGCTACTCACACATAACCTCATGACCTGATTTTTCAGAACTGTTAATATAATTGGTTAGTTTCTTTCAGGCCAGAGAGGGCAACCTCTGTCAGTCAGCATGGACTTTCATGTCTAGGCTTAGGGGAAAGGGGAAGAAGAAAGACTATTTTCTTATTACTAAAAGGTTAAGGAGAGCCCGACTCAGTTCTTTTTCCTTCCTTTATTTTACAAACATGTGCTGAGAACTCAGCACCTTGTCATATGATGGCAAGAATTCCAAAGTAAATCACTTATCTCCTTGCCCATATTAAATTCCATGGTCTATAATAGGTAGTCTTAGAGTTTATGATAATAAATTTAAGGTAAGAGCATTTGGCATTTTCAGTTACTTAGGGTTATGATGGAATAGGTAGAGTTGTATTGTTAGCCTTTTATTACAGATTCTGGATGTTATTTTTCCTGACACATGTTTTGCATATCTTTTCTCACTCTGTATTTATTTTCTGAATTGCAGTCACAGGTGGGTGAGGGATATGTTTCTCATGGTCCATATGTGCTGTCAGTAAAAGACTGCTTCCCTGGTAACCCTCAGTCCTTTTCTCAAGGATTGTGTCCAGGAGAGGGGTATGGTCAGAGTAGAGTTGAGGCTGTTCCCTGTGGCTTTCAAGTTCTGAGCCTTCCCTGGTGGTCTAGTGGTTAAGATTCAGACCTCTCTCAGGTACTGAGCTTTCCTCCCACACAAGCTTCTATAAGACATAGGTGCTTTAAACTCTGATTGGAGGCAGTGAGCATCTTAGGTGAATGTTATCTCAGCGGTGGCTCCAGGCCAGGAGTGGGACAAGGGTTTCATATAACACAGAATCCAACTGTAGAGAGGATATGCTTATGTGAAAGAACACCAAGTTCTTTCTCTACCCAGTCCTTCCTCCACAGGCCTAAGTTCAGCTGCCTATATCTGGACAAGTTCAAGCTGGCAGTCACCACCTTAGATAAGTGCAACATCAGCAAGGGCTGTTTGATGGCCTCAAGCACCCTTACTGGCAGTGCTCCTGATTCCTTCATTAATATTCAGCCTGTACATTCACCACAGATCTCTGCTCTCACAAATCCTATTTGTTTTCTGGAAGTAGCCCCTTCCCTTTTCCACACCTGGTTAAGTACATCCGCCCTTTCCAGTACAATCCCTGGTTCTAAATTCCCTAATGTTGGCAAATGTCCTCAGGAAAGAAAGCAGTGTCAGCCATCTCAGAAGCCCACCCCCATGCCAGGTCTGGAATTCCACTTCATCTAATCCTCATGATTTCTACAACACTGCAATGTCTTTTAAAATAATTTATGACTTTCTAGCTGTTGCATAGGCAGCATTGTAGTGCCACAATCTATTGCATTCTATATGGAAACATAAGAAATATTGTCTTCTGGGCCTCCCAGATGCCGCAGCGGTTGAGCGCTGGGTTACGAAGCTGCCAGCAGCCTCCACAACGCCGGTTCGATCCCCGGCCACAGGTGAGGGTCCCACATGGCGTGGCAGACCTCTCCTGCCGCCCGCTGCTCCCCTCACCAGTGTATTTCGTCAGTCTGCCTGCTCTGCTCCCCACTCTGGCTCTGGTGAATCCTCTCACCCTCCTGCGCTTCTGACTATACCCAGTGCTTATATAAATAAATAAATAAATAAATAAATCTTTAAAAAAAAAAAAAAGGGAAATATTGTCTTTTACCTGCCTAGTGTAATTAGTACTAGTCTCCCTGATTCTGTACTTGCCCCTCTTCCCTCCTAGAACAGCCATCCAGAGAAGAATGTTCCTTTCAAGCACATCCTTCTCAGAATACTCCAGCAGCATCTGTTCATACTTAGAATAAGTTCCCATTCATTTGAAATAAGTGCTGCACCATCTTATTGCTACTCCTTCTCTAACCTAATTTCCCTTTGCTTGCCCCTTTGCTCAATCATTATCAACTTTACTGACCTCCTTTGTGTTTCTCAAATATACTAACATGTATTCCTATATCAGCATCTTAGCATTTGTTATATATCCTCTACTTGGAAAGGCCTTTTCTCAGAACTTCACAAGACTTTGCCTTTATTTCATATGGGAGCTCTATGTAGATTTCACCCCCTCAAAGAGGACTTTCCTCGCCCCTCTGTGTTCTTATCTTGCTTTAGTATTAATCAGAGCATTTACCTGCCATTATACCATTTATTTGTCTATTTTCTGTCACCCACTAGAGGGAGAGTATGTCTGTTTTCTTTACTCTTCTAGTCTCAGGACTTAGACCAGTGCATAAACAATAGTTAGTGGCAATCACGGTTTGTAGGATTAATTATATATACCTTACCTTGAAGAGTTTTCCATTTAAGGAGATGAATGAATGGAATAAAGTTGAAAGTACTCTAACATAGATATCTACTGACTGCTTTGGAGTTGGGGCAAGGTCAGACAAGGCCTCAATAAGGAGGTGGCCTTGGAGCTGAGTGTTGATGTATGTCTGATCAGGAAGAATAGCGAACCTCATCGACGAATGAATTGGTGTTCAGAAAGCAGTGGGGCTATAACATGGGGGTGGGTGACAGGAAGGAACATCAAACATAACTAAGAGAAGAAGGCGGAGGCACAGTCACAGAGACCTTGGATATTAGGATAAAGAGTTTGGACTTTACCTTAAAGGTAATATGAAACAAAGCTTTTTAAGGTACGGAGAGATGGTATTAGATTTATATATTACCGTGTGTTTCACTACTCCTCACTGCAAAAATCACACAAAAAAATTCCTATTGACATAGGAAATCCCTACATTGGTTGTCAGAGCCCAGTTTCAAAACATAAGTCCTTATTCCAACTTATTGTATAATCTGGCAAAGGCATCATTTCCTCTTCTGAGCCTCAGATCTTGTTCTTAGCAGGAGAGTACTGTGAGCATCTATGAGCCATTCCATCTCTGAACCTATGTTCTGTTTGTATGTTTTATCTAGCTGCCTTGTGGAAATTTTTTAATATTTTTTTTCTGCCCAAAGTAATTAAAACTTTCAGTTCTAACCAATCTAAATTCAATTATCCTCTGAGGTTTCCTAACATTTAGGTCAGATACCAGGAAACTAGCTTCTTGACATAAAACTGCCCAAGTGAAAGTAGTACGTCTTTTTCCCCTCAGTTTGGTATGAGAATACAGGTGGGAGGAAGAGGTGATAGAATGAGTTTTTTTCTTGCAGTTGTGATCCCAAAGAATCCCTATCCTGTATCTGAGGTGAACACTGAGAAGCCCAGCATCTACAGCAGCACCAAAACTGTCTTGGAGCATCAACCAGGACAGAAGGGGCGTAAACCAGGAAAGAAGCGGGGCCGGACACCCAAGCCCTTAATTCCCCATCCCATCTCAACCCCTTCCAAGTCAACTGAACCTTTGAAATTTCCAAAGAAGAGGGGTCCCAAACCTGGCAGTAAGGTAGGTAAAAATATGTGGGTTTCCCAGAAAGGTATAGAGTTATAAAGGGGTAACTGATCCATACTTATGCGTCTTGGAAAGGGGCATGTCTAACTTTATTCTCCACCTGTGTATGCCTTTAATAAGAATATCCCGACTTAGCTGCTTACCTAGGAGTTGATAATATTAGAATTAGGATGATATGGGGTAAGAAACAAATTTTGATTTTGAAAGTTACTCACATTTGATAAAATTCTAGCCTAACGACTTCCATAGATGGAAAGCCTTACTCGGTGTTAACTGCCCAGAGCAGAAACTCAGGCATATGAACAGACAAAGCAAATCAATTCTGTGTATTTTTTTTATGATCTTCCCCTTCTTCTAAGATAAAGAAAAGAAAAATTATTGATAAGTAATGTTAATGATATTTAATAATTAAATTGAGACATAAAGATATGAAATGACTTCTAAGATAGCATAGCTAACAAGTGGCAAAGGCTATAAAAATGGGGTCCCGGATATTTTAGATTCAGGGCTACTGCTGTCCTACCACATATTCATTCTGTAACATTTCCTGAAAGAGAAAACATTTCTTGTGTAGAAAAGACTGCTGAGAGTCAAACTTCACTGAACCCTGTTACTGTAGTTTACACCTTTTAGTCATGACCAGTTCTTCATGTATATCTCCCTAGGGAAAACACTGATATGAAAGTTCCTCAGCCGCTTCCCTATGGCCTCCATTGGCACCACCTTTTCCACTTACTTTCAAAATGTCAGGGGATTTCTCTGGAGCTCCATCCTGAACTAGTCTATATGAGTTCCAGTGTGTAAATTCTACCTAGTCCTCCCTGCTGGGCATTCCATTCCAATCTCTTAAGTTCCTCCCTAGGGTAAGTTGATTGGTTTTGTTTATTAGCTCCAGATGACCTCAGTCCTACTCGAATGTGAACTCAAGATCAAGAACCTAATCTTTATCTTCCTTTCTTTCCTGCAGTGCTTTATATCTCAGTTTTTGGCAGATGTTCGGTATATGCACAATAGATGGAAAGAAGGAGGGAACTAAGGAGGGAGGGTGTGGTGGGTGATGATTTTAGTGATGATATTCCAACTGAGATTGTTTCTTATTTATTAGCTTTGAATTCTCTATATCACATCCTCATCTTCGGTGCTCCTGATCTATTACTACTAGCCCCTAATGTAGCTAGGGGCTCATTCATTTTTGCCTCCTTTACTCTTCTCATTCTCATGTTGTGGAGGAGAGGCTGAAAGTTAAAGATTCTAAGACCAGAAGTCTTCTGATGATGTGAAAACATCTGGAAGACAAATCAAAAAGGGAGAAATCATCTCTGTGAGCTTCCAAAGACAGAACCAAAACCACTAAGCAGAAACAAGCAGACAGGTCTCATCTCTATAAAAAAGAAACAACAGTTTAATCTATCCCAAAATGAAGTTAGTGACTCCCATCACTAGAGGAATTTCATCAGGTATTGAATGGCTATATGGGAGGGAATTTTTAGGGAGAGGGAAGTAAAAGTGTTGGATGGATAGTCAGATTAAATGGCCTTTAAGATTCTTCAAAACCTAAAATTGTGATTCTGTGATTGCTTCTGCTCTTTCTCGGGCAGTCCTAAACAAGTAGCCAGAATCCTCTTTCTTTCCAACCCTCTTGTAAACAGTGACTCTCACCCCACCTGGTATTTTGTGGCTTGGCATTTGACTCCCTAATTCCTCTTTCTGTTCTTTTGCTTATTCCTATACATATATATGCCTCCCATTTAACTCATAACTCTGTGTTCCTTTTTGACTCAAAGTAGTATTGTGACTAGGGCATGGACTTTGAATCAAAACAAACTGTCTCATCCATCTGTTACCATCTGTGTGACTTTTGAGAAATCTTTGAGTAAGACCCTGAAGTTTTTTCACCAATGAAATGGAGATGAGACAATAGATGAACAGATTTAATGCATGTAAATGCATCTATCTCAAATAGTTGTAATTCCTTGCATCTTTCTGTTTTCATTTTTAATATTTGGGTACCTAATTCACCAAGCTTATTCCTTCAGGGACTCCATGAAATCATACTCCCAGTTCATTAAAACTGAACTGACATTTCTCTTCTTCCCTGATTCATTGCTTATTTAGATGTTCACTTTTAGCAGTATCAAAAACATGAGACATCCATATCATCCCATATGTGTTTTGACTGTTTCATGAGTGCTTGAATTATTATTTTCACAGGCAAGATCATTTTTATATGCCTACTATCATTGGTGCTATCTCTTTAAATAATATACTTCTAGAAGGCAGACAGGTTTATGTAGCTCCCAGCAGGGACCCCACATGGAATATTTGGTAAAAAGGGATTTCTGCAACTCAGTGATGGTTGTGTTTTCCTTGTATTCAAAAAGGCTTTTAGAAAAACATTTCTTGAAAATAAATTTCTGAGATATTTATTCTCCAGAAACTTCCCTGAACAGCATAGAGGTGATACTACATCTCTCTCAAATCATCTTTATTGCTTCCCACATTGTTGGTATTCTATACTGTATGCCTCACTGAAAAACATTTATTGACATTATTATATGCTAAGTATCATGCTAGGTATGGTAGTCAGAATCAGACCTTCAAGGAACTCTAGGCTAGTAGGGGACACCAGTATGGCTATGTCTACGTATGTGTGTATACATGTTATATATGTGTATATGTATACACATATGTCATATGTATGTGTTAGCACATTGAGACAAATGTAACAATACAAAGTACAGAGATTGCACAAAACAGATACTAATTAGAGGAAGTCTAGAAAGTCTTCCTAGATAAACAGATCTTTGAAAGACTTTAAAAAAAGGAAAAAAAGGGCATTCTAGGAATATAGGATTGTTTATTACTATAAAGACATGGACCATGTAAAGGCATGGACCAGGCAGGATTTTAGAGAATGTATTATGTTATCAGAAAAGTCATGATGTATTTTTTTCTAAGCAAAAATGTGTCATGACTTTTCAGACAGCCCAATAGTTAGAGATTATGACAGGTTTTCAGATAAGGAATGACAGATGATGCACTGAAGAGAAGGTAGGCAAAGGAAAGTAGTTTATAGAGTTAGGGGGAGAGAGCCTTCCATTTTCAAGAAAGAGAAACAAAACACAAAGTAATATCAAAGTAGACTTAGCCCCATATTTTTTTCTTTCTTTTTGTTTCTCTTTGCCCAACTAATACAGAACCTGAAACTAAAAATGGTAGTATTGATTCTAGTATAAAATACAGTGAATTAAGCTCTGATTGTCTAGAAGTCCAGAATTTTGAACCCAGATTCAAAAAATGTTTACTGGGCATCTTAGTATGTACATCCTTGTGCAAGAGACAGTGTAGAAAACAAAGATAAAATACAGTCACATCCATAGATAGATTTCCGTTTCAAGGGTGTATTAAATACTAGGACTATAGAGAGGAATGAGAGGACAAGTTACCAATCATGGGTAGCAAACTTTTCCCCATCCATTTTGACAGAGGAAACCTCGGAATTTGCTGAACCCACCACCCACCTCACCAACAACCAGCACCCCTGAACCGGATACCAGCACTGTACCCCAAGATGCTGCCACCATCCCCAGCTCAGCCATGCAGGCCCCCACAGGTAAGAGCAGACCACCAGACTAACTGCAACAGGCCCCAGGCCCCAGTGTACTTTCTCATCTTATACTAATAATTCACTCTGTCTAATTTATAAACCTAAATAGATTCTTTTTAAATAAGTTTTTTATCTTTAGCCATTTGAAATAGTTTCAGAGAAATTTCACACTGTCAAAACGATCAGAGAACATCAGGTGGATGTTCTATGAACTCAAGGTTGGATAGCTGTGACATGGAGCAGGTTGGACCTAGGGCCAGCACCAAGAGCTCCCTGACCCAGTTTGTAAAAACATTCAACCTTTCCATTAGGGTGCTCCTTTCTTAGTGATCCCTTCAGGCATTGCAGTAATCCTACTACCACTCTACCACTCAGATATATATGAAACTGCTCTGATTTTTCTTAGCATCATTGATAGAGGCAAATCTTGGTACTGTGAGAGTAAACTTGATTTGGGGTTGATGAATGTTCAATTCAGAGCAAAATGTGAGTGAATAGGGTTCACTGAACCCAAACCCAATGTGATTGGCGGTTTCCCACACCAACCGCTCAATTCTGACAACTCTTAACAGAGATGACATCTGGTTCCACAGGAAAGGGCTCAGCTCAGTTTTCCAAGACTGGCCATCACTTCAGAGCCCAGTTGCAATACCCAGGCTGTTCGCTGTACTTCTAACTGACTGTAAATCAAAGGTTCCCACAAATCCCTCCTCAGTTAGATTCATTTGCTAGAGTATGTCACAGAACTCAGGAAACTGTCTACTTATTACAAAACCAATTTATTACAAAGGCTATGTAACTCAGAAACAACCAGATGGGAGAGATGCATAGGGAAAAGTATAGGGGGAAGGCACAGAGCTTCCATGTCCTCTAGAAGCATGCCACTCTCCTAGGATCTGCATATATTCACCCACCTGAAAGTACTCAGAACCTCCTCCTCTTGTGTTTTTATGGAAGCCTCATTATTTAGGCATTATTGACTGGGCCATTTGCCATTTGGCAGTTGAACTCAACCTCCAAACCATCTCCCCTCCTGGAGGTCTGGGGGTAGAACTGGAGATCTGGGGGTAGAATCTCTGATCACATGCTTGGTTCTCTAGGCAATCAGCCCCCATCCCTGGGTGCTTCCCAAAATTCTCTTTCATTAACATTTTAAAAGAGATGCCTTTATCATTTACAACAATTAGGAAATTCCATGTTTGGGGAACTGTGAGCTAGGAATTGTGGATAAAGACCAAATATATATGAGAGCTGTATCTTGGTCACCTGAATGACCAAATACATTTTTATAAATCATATCATCACAGTGGTTAATCAACTATGCTTCTCTGCTCCCCTTTCATTATCTGGATAACTCTGAAAGAACTATCCCTTTAGAATAGATATACAGTATCCAGTAGGGTGACTACAGAGAAGAGTGCTTATTGCTTCAGTGTAAATTAAGGTACATGTGAGACCATCTTGGTATGCTGCTTACTCTCCAGTCTCTAGGAAAGCCTAAGCAATCTGGAGTGAAAGCTAGTGTAATTTCCTTCCCAAATAACTTTTGGAAGACAACAGAGCCTGCCTGTGGTATTTATGTCCAGCTCTGGTCAGGATCCTATCACGTGATTTCTCCAAATATGCCTTGCCTGCGAGTGTCATTAGACTAATGTACAGTGGCCTTTGTTCCTCAGCTCCATGAAGGAGGAAGTAAAGACAGATGAACACCTTGGTGAAAATATTGATTACATTTTCCAACTGCATGACATGCCCCCTGGATACCTGTGATTCTGCTTGGTTTACCCCCATATCATTCTAGGTGCCACCTAGCTGACTTCTCAACAATACCTAGAAGACTCACAGCAGCAGGAGCTTTATGAATGTGCTCCACTATTCCTATTATGAGAGGTGGTCACTGGGCTGGCATCCCTCCATTGGGCTCAGTCTTAGTTTAGGAAAAGTGGGAGCTCCTTTGTATCCCTGTCTCCTGCTCATTGCCAAGCTATAGCAGTCTTGACTGATCATTGTGTTACCATATCCTGATTGGGCCTTGGTTCATTTTGTGTGAACGTGATATTACTTCCCTTTCTGAGCCTCAGTTTCCACTTGATGCAATGATAGAATTAGTCCAAATTATCTTTATAGTCTCTTCAAATAATAATAAAAGCTATCATAGATTGAAAGTTATATGCCACATCATATCCTTTATTACCTTCCTTTCATTTTTTAACTATGCAACACTTTTTATAAGAGTCATTTTTATCAGTCAGGTATATATGCTCACAGTTTAAAGGAATAAGGGGTCTACACAAATTATTATAAAAACAAAATAAACCTCCTCTCACCCTGTCATTTACTTCTCACCAAATGCCACTGCTTTTAATTCATCTGGTTCTGTTCCCTTCATACATGTAAGCAGCATGTTTATATTGCCTCTTTTTTTTTTTTTTAAAGCATTGGGCATTTTTCAAGAGACAATCCACTTGAGATGGTGAGGATTTAACCCTTCTTAATCTCCTTGTTCTTACCCTCTTACACATAATTCCCTATCCTGGTACAGTGATGTGATAGTCTTCACTAGATTGAAATCCAGTATTTTGTTATTATAACTTGTCAAATGCTGTTCTCCCTTGAGCTACTTAGTTTATCGTGATTGCTTTTCCTTTGTGGCACAACATTTTGTTTTCAGAGTCAACTTTGTTTATCTCTTTGTTTTATGTTATTTGCTCTGTACTTATAAATTGAGATTTTAAACTTTCTTAATACTGTATACATCTCCCTTTTTGTTTAAGCACATTATAATATATATTCTATCCATCTTATACTCTAAAAGAAACTTCTCCTGCAACCTCTGAGTTCCTTGAGATCCTCTTCATCTCTCTTTTGTATTATCCCCAGTTTGTTCCTTCCCATGTCTTTGTTCCCATTCAAATCTTTCTTAAATTTACACCTTTAGTTTTATATGAAATCTGCTTATGGCAGCATCCATCTGCTCACCTGTGACTATGCAGGTGCGTCCTTTCACCAACTCTCTCCTGCAGGGTAGCAGCTTCCTGCCTATCCGTGACTTATACCATGCCGGCACTTCTCCTCACTGATCTCCCTCAGTGGAGGCAGCTCTCCTCAAGGCCACCTGCCTGCAACCATGCAAGCCTTTCTCAGCAAACCTTTCCCTTTTCAGGCAGCTCTTCCTGCCCACTGGTGTCTATGCAAGTGCCTTTTACTATCCTATCCCTTTTCTAATAAACCTGCCCTTTAAATATATATATATATAATCTGCTTATTCTTTTTTGAAACTTCTCTTCATGGTGAATATTCTGAAATTCACCTCAGATATGAATACTTTTACCTGCCTTAAGGTACTTTGTGCACTTACTGTACCCATTCCATTCTTTAGCTTCTTGAAATTTTCTTAATTTCTTTCATCAATGATTTTCTCCCACTTCTTTTTCTCTGTTCAGTCTTTCTGGCTTACCTGAGATTTTGAACCTGTTGAACGCATCCTCTGATTTGTTAACCCTCTTTATTCTTTATTCCCTGTTCTTTGTCTTTTTACTGAACTTCTTTCAATCTTTCTTCAACTATATCTTCCACACTTTGTAATGCGTTTTTCATTTCTGACATCTTTTACAAGTTTCATTGTTTATTACTCTCGTCTTTTCCAAAGGGTGTTTGGTAGGAAACAGTTCTGCAAAATGCTTGGCATAAAAGGATTTTGCATCCCTTGGAGAAATTTGGTCAATACATTTAGGGAATGCTTTGCTCTTCTTCCCTAGTCAGCAAATTTTTGCATCAGCTGTCAAGAATTCTATTTTTAGCTTTCTGAATTTTTCATCAGACCTTTTTTTAAGTTCACAGTAAAATTAAGTAGAAGACAGAGATTTTCCATATACCCCTGGCACCCTCAAATGAGTAGCCTTTTGCATTAATCAACCTCTGCCGTTGTTTATAGGACAACTGTGAAACTATTTCTGGGTTCTCTAATTTGTTCCATTTACCTATTTGTTGATCCTTTCACCAGTACCATTACTGTAGCTTTATAGCAGGTCTTGAAGTTTGGTAGTGTCATTCTTTCAACTTTGTTTGCCCTCAATAACATACTGGTATGTGGACTTTTTTTTTTTTCTTACCTTTTCTTATAAACTAAAATCAGTTTGTTAGTAGCCACAAAATAACTTGTTAGGATTTTGATTTGCATTGCATTGAATCTGTAGGTCAAATTGGGAAGAACTGGATCTTCCTATCTATGAACCTGGGATATCTTTCCATTTATTTAGTTCTTTTTTTTTTTTTTTTACGTCTTCAGAGTTTTGTAATTTTCTTCAAATTTTCCTCATATTTAGGTATAAGTAACATTTTTGGACATGCTAATATAAACAACATTCTGTTTTTAATTTCAAGTCCCACTTTTTCATTGGCATTATATAGGAAAATTATTGACTTTTATATTAACCTATATCCTGCAACCTTTCTATAATTGCTTATTTTTTTTAACTTTTTTTTAAGATTTATTTATTTATACAAGCACTGGGTACAGTCAGAAGTGCGAGAGAGTGAGAGAATTCACCAGAGCCAGAGGGGAGAACAGAGCAGGCGGACTGACAAAGTACACTGCTGAGGGGAGCAGCGGGTGGCAGGAGAGGTCTGTGCCCCAATGTGGGACCTTCACCCGGCAGCCAGGGATTGAACCGGCGCTGCAGAGACTGTGGGCAGCTTCACAACCCAGCACTCAACCGCTGCGCCACCTGGGAGGCTCTATAATTGCTTATTAATTGCAGAATTTTTTGTCAATTTTTTCACATTTTCTACATCAACAGGTATATCATCTACAAACTGAGAGTTTTCTTTCCTCTTTCCCAATGTGTATACCTTTCATTTCCTTCTCTTGTGTTAGTACACTAGTTAGGACTTTCAGTATTGAACAGTGGTGGTCAGTGGGACGTTCTTACTTTCTTCCTGATCTTAGTGAGAAATCTTCTAGATTCTCATCATTATGATTGTAGGTTTCTTGTGGATGTTCTTTA